TGTGATTACTCATGACAGAGTTCATTGTATTTTGTTTGAGAACATAATTAAGTCCTTAGTGCATGACAGCCGGGTGGCTGTCACCGTTACGGTGCTTGCTGCTTCCCTCTGCTGCACGCAACTGGAATTGCTGCAGAGAGACAGCAGTGGCGTGGGATGGAGGTGCGGGTGAACCTGAGTGCAGTGATGGGATCTGGAGGCTCATTAGCCCGGGGTTTAATTGGACTGACCGCGGCTGCTCCCATCAGCGCTGTATTTGGAACTGCCTTACCTGTGTCTCAGCTCTTCTTTATGGTCATTTGGCATGTATTTTGATTCCACTTCAACACAAATCGCCCCCCAGGAGGGGTCTGATTTACACGAGCTGCTCCTGGTGTGGGTGATGCAGTGTTCTGGCCAGCAGTGTTCTGTTGTAGCGTTCTGAGCAGACCTTCGAATCTGCAGGCTGCAGGGATGGGCTCAGCTGGGCTGGCTGTCACTTGGGTACACATTTGTACACATACTGAGTACGAGGACTGCTCTTATCACACCAGGGGTCCCATTTGTGCTTCAGTCTGCCAGGTGATGCTGTGGTAATACAAACGTAAGGAACCTTTTGGAGGTGGTGAAAAAACAGCTGGTGCTTGGTGCTGTTTGCAGGAGAGGTTACTTAATTCCGTGCAGTCAACTCCTTTTATCAATTTTCACTGTAATGTGTGTGTCAAATCTTGGTAAAGCATTTATAGGGTTTGTTTTTGACAGGTGAAATAGGTTAATTCATCTGAGAAAGAAGCTATGTTTTTCTTGATAGGAAAGGGATTATTGAAATGCTGAACACGCTCTTTTCTCCATTCCTTTCTATAGGCTGGGTTTCTGATGCTGCAGACTGTAACACTAAACCTTGTGCTGGTTATTATCAAATGCAACTATAGGTTAGTGGTTTCCTCTTGTCCACACCTGCTGAAAATAAAAATAAAATTCCATTCAGCAGCCTCTAAACACCCCTGCTGACAGGGGATATGCAGTGGAATTCACCTCAACTTTAACCCAAATAACCCAAACATAGTGAAGTGAACCCAAGACAAATTGGGCTGAAGCCATGTGACAGGTTTGTTAGCTTGAGCATCTTCTTCCTAACAGTATTGAGAGCATCGTGCATGAGAGGCAAGGAATGTTGGGTTGCGTTCAAAATGTGAACACTGGAAGAGTGGGCCATTAAACCAATCATTTTCTTTTTTCTATACATGTACAGAGTTTGGGGTTTGTTTGTTTCTTTTTATGCTGTGCATTTAAAATTAAAAAAAAAAAAAATGAAGAAAGTTATGAGTATATGAGAACTGAAGCTGAAACATACAAACTGGTGATTGAGTAGTTTGTGTCTACTAGCAGAGGCACGCTCTCATTCAAAATGGGTAAAGCTAATGTCTGAACAGCTTTTCTTGCTGGAATCTCCTCACAGTGCAGGAATTGGTTGCATTGTTTGTTTAGCTCTCATCTCTCCCTGCAGCTTGCTCAGCTGTAGCCAGTTCCTTTAAGTCTCTTGTCTTTTGCAACAACTGCCTCATCACTGCCACGGAGCGCTTGTTCATCTCTTGGTGGAGCTACACAGATCCTTTGATGTGCTCTTTAAATTACAGTTGTCTGAGATTACTTAGTTCTTTTTTTTTTTAATCAGCGACTCTGAGATTCTTGAGCTTCTCTTCAAAATATTCGAGTGATTGTTGACGTGAGTGGATGGCTGTTATCTGCCATCCTTCCTATGTTGCATTCACACGAGCTGCTCCTCCATCTATACGGATGTAACTGAGTTGGAATAAGGCAAAATCTTCCAGGCAAGCCCTGTGTGTCACAGCAGATCCTGGTTAGCACCACAGCAGGACATGTCACAGGGCATCACTTCTCTGCTCCAGCGACCTCCACCTGGGAATGATTTATCAGCGTTCATGCTTCTCTGCTGCAGTCACCAGAGCAGAGCACAAGAGGCTGCTCTGCCTTTATGCAGCTTGAGAAGCATCACCAGGGGTCACACACATCGCTGCAGGAACACGTAGAGCCATCTCCTCGTGGTGGGGTTATCAGGGAGTGGTAAGAGGTCAGCAAACTTGTGTCAGGAGAACTGTAGGAGCTGCCAATAACTCAGCCCTTTGCTGCTTAATCACACGAAGTGGGGAGAAGAGTTTACCTCGGTGTTTGGTGTTTGATTGATGAATGTCAACTGGCATTTCTCAGAAAATGATTTAACTTGCACCAAAGTGCTCCTATTGTTCCTCCGCCTTGTTGCTGAAATGATGTTTTAATGGTTGAGGAAAGGAACTGTTCAACTGCTGTTGTCTTTCATTCACACCTGAGATCATCGAGCAGTTGAGTTTCACAATGTGGGTAATTATGAGTAATTCAGAGCAATAGTTACTGGATGGTCACCCTCTGCTTTTCTGCCGGAGATTAAGATGAAAATAATAATGCAAAGAGTTCTCTTCCCCTTTTCCTCTTGTTACTGAAGAGTTATTATTATGTGACCATTTCAAAGGCATAATTAGGTAACTTAATAACATGACACCTGCGTATTTCCAGTCCTGTCAAAATTGTACTTAATTAGGGCAAAAATAATCTCTCATGACTCACTGTGAGGCTTTGGTGCATCAGTTAGCAAAAAGGAGAGAAAGAAACAGTGTATGTATGATTAGTCCAATGCATTCAGCAAATCAAAGCAGGGTGAAGTGTCCCTAATCAAGGCAAACATGTTTGCAATGCAAATGCCTGGTGCCTGCTTCAGCATCCTTCCCAGCGTGCAGGAAGCATGAGCCAGCCTTCGGGCTAAAGCTTGGACCACCTCATTAACCCCAGTACAGAGCATTAGCCTCCCATCTTGCTAGTTAGCACGTGTTCTTTCTTTCTCAGGCTCCTTACAAAACAATTTCTCAGCTTTTCTGGTTTTATCCTTTTTTGCTACTCTCCAATTATAGAGATCATATAGAATCATAGAATGACCTGGGTTGAAAAGGAGCACAGTGCTCATCCAAGTTCCAACCCCCTGCTGTGTGCAGGGTCACCAACCACCAGACCAGGCTGCCCAGAGCCACATCCAGCCTGGTTTAAATACCTCCAGGGATGGGGCATCCAAAACCTCCTTGGGCAACCTGTTCCAGTGCCTCACCACCCTCTGGGTGAAAAACTTCCTCCTAATATCCAACCCAAACCTCCCCTGTCTCAGTTTAAAACCATTCCCCCTAGTCCTATCACTATCCACCCCTGTAAACAGCCGTTCTCCCTCCTGTTTATATGCTCCCTTCAAATACTGGAAGGCCACAATGCGGTCTCCCCGGAGCCTTATAAAGTTCCTGTTTGGGTCTCCATCATCTTAGGACCTGTGATTGTTTCCATCCATATCTCATCACAGAGCAGCTATCATGCGCAGTCGTTGAGCATCCATCAGCATCCCTAACTGCCCCAGGAAGCAATCTGTGAATTTAGCTGTGTAAGTTTGGATGAAAAAAGTGGCAGTAACTTCCCACTTGATGAGAAGGTTGCAGACTGGCTCAGTAACAGAGTTTTGAGAGCTGCAGGCCCTCTGACTGAGGCTGAAATAGCTCACACCATTCACAATCTTTGTTCCTGTGAAGGCAGAGCAGAACCAGACTCGTGCAACGACTCCCATCCCTGTCCCTCTAACTGTATAACTGTACCCCTGCCCTTAGACAGCAGCACCCCATTTTCCCCAAGCTCTGAGCTGCTCTGTGCTCTGGACAACAGCATTACAATGTTCTAAAGAAGCTGATATGTGAAGTCCCTTGGTGATTGTATGCCTACCCTTTTCCCTTTTTGCTTAACCACAAATTACAAATAGCTGAGCGACTGAATTGCTTGTCTACTGCCCTGCTGCTTTTGAATGTCTTTCTTTGCTTTCCAAGCACGCATTCTAATCCAAGCACATCTCACCTTTACATCATCTGTTTCTTGTCGTGCCCCTCCCGGCCCAAGTCAAAGTTCACAGAGGAAGATCTGAGCCAGGATGCTAAATCTGGAATAGATATTTAGTGAGTGACTGTAAGGGATGGGAAGTACAGGTGATGGACGCTTCCTATTTGCAGTCTGAGCTCTTCCTACAGAGGTTGGAGCAGGCTGAGGAGCTGTCTGCCTGTAACCCAGCAGCAATCACAGCAGAAAGGCCTGGATCTGTGACAAGGGAATGTAGGAAGGATTTGATTTATTAATTTTGGTGGAGGAATCTAAAAGGGCACAGAAATAACAGTAATTAATGCTGAAGTAGAAATTCTTTTGCCCAACTGAGGGAAATGCTGCAGGTAAGTCTTCAAATGCAACTGATTTCTCCAAATTATGAAGCAAGGAGTGAATTAGGTATTAAGATGATGACATTTTCCAAGTATCTATTTCTTACAATCTTAAAATCAATTCTTGAAGTTTAAATGTTCATCCCCACCCCCCAGCATGTTAATCCAGAGTGTTAATATTCTCATATTCTGATGCAAAGATGACCACTTCAGCACTGCACTTCTTTATCAGACAAACTGTGGTGTTTTTCAATGTTTATTTATTAATTTTTGCATGCATAAGTACAGGAAAATGCAAATTGTATTACATCTTAGATTAATCAATTGGAAAATATAGATTTTAACTCATCAGAAATAATGGCTTCTGCCAACGCAAATGGTATTTCCACTGTAAGGAAGTGGGATGGAATTGTTTAAAGAAGCATTGTGGGCTTTTCAAGATGTATTTTTCCCCATCACTGAGAATGCTGAGGTTTATTCTTTGGAATAAAAGGATTTTTATTAATGTGGAAGCAACATGCCAAAATGTCAGAGTAGTATTGGAGCAGAAATTTTGAGACATGGCTTGAAGCAGTGATGGAGCACCTGGTGGGAAGGCAGGGCCAACCCAGGGGAGCTCAGCTGCATGCAATGCAATGCACTGATTGACCTGAAGGGCTGGAGCCAGGATCCACCCCTTCCCAACCCTTTTAAGGGCTGGCAATGGAGATGTGACTATCTCCCTGAAGATCCCTGTGTACTTGAGGCTTCTTGAAGGTAAGCAGCTTCTTTCCTTTATTTCTGTGCCCCTGGTTGTTGTGTCTCAGCAAATCCTCGCTTGCTGCTGTCTGGAGCTTTGCTGCTCTGCTGTCGTTGCTGTGTTTTCCGTTGTGTTACAGCATTACAAGTGTTAATGTTTTAAGTTACTATAAACACAGAACTGGAAAAAAATAAGCACGCTGTAAAGAGTCAGACTGCATTATGAGGCAGAGTAAGCGTGCTGCTCTGGTGTCTTGATGAAAGATAAAGTAGAAATTGATATATGTACCTGCCACTTTGTGCTCACACTTCAGAGCACTCTATTGAGCAATGAGTTGGGGTTACATCACAGAGCACAATCATACAGAGATCCTGAGATTCTCTCAGAAAGCTTTGGAGGAGTAGATATGGGCTTCCAGGCAGGGGATCAGAATGGTGTATTCAGGTGTGTGTGTATGCCCAGTAAATTATTCAGCCACTAGATGTCCTAATGTGTGGAGATGCAAATCCAGCATGAGCAGTGATGTACAGAAATTACAAACCTGGGACTCAGTGCTGATTATCTGCATATTTTTAGCCCATGGATTTGCAGATCCTAGAAAACTGCTGAAGAGGCTCTAAAACACAACCAAAAATGAGGCTCCAAAACACAACTCAACAGCAGGTTTGCATGCAGGCTGTGACTGGCTGATTAATTGCCATCATGTACACAGGTTGTACTTTTATACTGGCTTAGCAAATGCTGTAGCTACTCAGTCTGTTAAGGATTGATTCTAAGTACCATGTGGCTGGATCCAGTACTGCATCTTGCTGCTAAATGTTGTTGTTTTTCCAGATCATATGATTTTTGAGAGATTTGACAAACCCAAAGAAATATGGGTCTACTGCTAAAGGAAATGCAGTGTTGAAATCCTGACCTTATGCAGATGAGTGAGAGATGTAACATGGGAGGAGAAGAAAATAATGAAACTTAGCTGATTTTTTTTTTTTAATTAATTCCTATATTATAAGCAGTGGAAATGCCATGCCTTCATCTCGCAGCTGCTCTCTCTGCCTGTGAGAACCCCCAGCCATTTACCTGCAAGATGTGTGCAGTGAAATTCCATGTTGCTGAGGGATGTTCTGTGCTCAGGAAGAGCTTTTGAGCCAGCCCTTGTTGTAGAGATGAAGAAATGGCTGGGCAGAAGGAGCACCCAGCTGTTGTTTTTATTGCTGGCTTAACTGTGTATGATTCAAGCAGGGTTGGGTTGGGGGTCTGTGTTCTTTGACTATCAGGTGGTCCAAAGCTCCTCACTCACACATCCATGCACTGGGATGAGAAAGTTCTGTGGAGTGGCAGATAGATTCAATCACAGACTTGAGGCCAAAGGATCAAGATGGATTTCAGCTGCTTTTCTGCACATTCATATCTCATGGAGTGCTGCACTCAGCTGTTACCTCCTGCTGGTTCACCTGCCCTGGTACTGTCTGAGAGAAGCAGTGGGTGCTGAGGCAAAGCATGGTGTTATTTTGAGGCTTTTATCTTAACCAATTTTCAGTTCCAGTTTCGTTTAGAGAATTGTTGCGAGTGAGAGAAGGGGAAGAATAAATAACCAAAATATGCAAAGAGTAAATAGGGCTTTTATTGGCTTCTGTGTGCTTACAGCAGAGCCCATTCAGAGTTCTTAGTGTAATTTCATTAGTGATTTGTTGTTACAGTTCTTGCCTGCTCATGAATTATTTACCTGCTGTACAGGTGTGAGTATTTGCATTAGAGCCAACTGGTGCATGTGTAATGTTCTCTGTGAAGTACATCAGTGGGGTGGGTGCATTTATTCTCCTTTTATCATTCCATCCATTATGCATGCAGTTGTACACTTATACCTGAGGTGGCATTTGAATATGGAATGCTTTTTAGTTGCAAGAGCTGCAAAATGAGGCCAATTCCTTTCTACCTACTCCTGAGAACATCCCAGCAGTGACCCCCAGCCTATTATCTGACCCCCAGGTGATGTGAATTCTGATCTAACTCAGATCACCTGTGGGCTCCTCCAAGGCTGGACATGAAATAAGAAACAAAACGTCATCACCTGCTGCAGATTTCTGTGCTGTGCTTGGGCAGAGAGAGGGATGGGAGCACCTTGGAAAACTCAGCTGGAACATTTTGCTGAGCTGCTGGTGTGGAGGAGGTAATTCTTAATATTTTCCTTCAGACTGCAGTTGTGTGGTTTATTAAAAATTACTGGGGTGTTGACACATACCAGGGAGAAAAGCTGCTTTTGCAGTTGTTTAAGTTCATGTGGTTGAAGGCTAGAAATCCATAGACTCTTCAACTATCTTCATGGCACGGTATGAGGTGCAACCTGAATTGCAGAGATGTGGGGAAAACCACACTGAGTGCACAGGTGGCAGAACTGATGGCTGCAGATTCTGTCTGTCCTTCTGGTTGGTGCTTTTGTGCTGTGTGTGGATGTGGTTGGAACCATTCAGGAGGGTTCCTTTGGTTTGCTTTGTTCCTTCTTGCCTTTAGTTTTTCTTTGAACTTCGAGGCTTCTGCTGACAGACTTTCAGTTTCTTGAAAATGTAGAAAGCCAGATGTGAAATAAGGAGTGTGTTAGAAAACAAGTATTGCTGCCAAGCTTAACCATTGAAATGCAAGGGATGAACAAACTTCTTCCTTCCAGCATTCTCAGCTTCTCTCCATTAGCATTTCTCCCTCTTGCCCCAGTAATGCCATGAATCCCCTCTGACTGAATTCCAGATGCACTTTCCTTCTTGCTCACTCCCTGTTATCGAAAGGCAGATCCTCCCTTCCCCTTTAACTTCCCTCTGGTTAAACCTCAGTGTGAATTGCAACTATATTTCTAACAGAGGTGGCTCATTGGGCTGCCAGAGCAGATTTAGAGCTTTGTTTCTGTAAGGTGCTGTACTTCCAGTGTGCATCAGTGCTTAAAGAACACATGGTTTCATCTGCAGCTCAATTTCACCAGCTCAGAGGTTGCTGCATTCTCCCCACTGAGGTCTTTATTTTTTTTGTAGAACACTTTGCATCTTTGCATGTCAAGTGCTCTGATTGAAGTTACCAGCTGCTGCCCTTCTCTGCTTATGCTCTCTCCTTTCCCATCCTAATAGTTCTATCAACTGAGAACTCAGTATTTTAATCCAAAGTGCCAAACATTGACTCAGTGGCATGGGCAGAAACAGTCTGTGAGTTGAACTCAGAGCACGTGGCTGTACGGAATGGATGTCCTTGGAAGTAAGGCTGTGGTTGTTGACATGCAAAGGCTTAAAGAAGCACAGGAGATGCTGTAATGTGCAAAACCATTCCTGTGTGCCTTCCTGATTGTGTTCCTTTGTGGCTTTCTGTTTGTTGTTATTCTTTCAGAGCCCATTGGCCATGGAGATGACCTTAGGCTGTTGAAGAAAATGTATTTTTCATGTGCTTGCTCTCAGCCTTCGCCACTCTGCTCTTGATTGTGGTCAGGCAAACGCATGACAGAAAAGAAATAAGAGAGCTTCCGATGTGATGTTCTCAGATATTGATTTATTTTTTTTCCCCCTCTTAAAATTCTGTTTACAAATTCCTGTTGCTTTAATTATGTGTTTCTGGCTGAAAGCAGTACAAAGCTTGCCTGCAGGACCAATTGATAAGCCTTCATTCTAAGTCCATGTAACTAATCCTACTGTATTTCTCCAAAACTCACCTGTCAGGGATTTCTGAGCACTTTGACAGGAGCAGCCGAGCACCCTTAGCATGTGATGCAGGTGGAGTAGGGTGAGGTTAATGGATGAACTCAAAAATAAGGAATACAGCCCCTCTGCTGATTCCTGTGCTCCTGTTGCCTAGTGCGAATAGGGCTTGTCTCCAAAAGAATGGCAAATGGAGAACAAATACATTATCTTAGATTTTATGTCTTTGCTCACTGGTGCGCGTTGTGATGCATTGACCTGGAGCGTGCCACGCTTGGCTTCCGCAAAGAGGATTCGGAGTCACGGTGGTACGAACCCAATCCCTTTACCCTACAGTTGTGTAGGAGCCTCACGGTGAGCACTTTGTTAGCAACGCTGTGCTCTGAGCGCTTTGCTTTTTGCCACCGCCGTTCCCTGCGGCTGCACCGAGTCCTGAAACGCGTGGGGTGCAGCTCCCTGAACCCCAAAGCTTTGCTCCTCCTCTGCCTGCAGCCGCTTTGCACCTCTTAACTGCCTAAGTAAGGCAGAGCGGCTGTACCTGAGCACACCTGGGTTTGTTGGCCCTTCTGTGCACCGAAATAGGCGGTTTGCAGCGAGCCGGGGGGAAGGGAGCGTGCAACAGTGCCCCTCACGGCAAGGAGAAGCACGCTTGGGCCAGGCGCTGTTAGTAAAGATGGCACAAGCGCTGTTTGCTTCGGGCTGAGGCGCTGCTCCCCGCGCACCTGTTAAGGGCGGTGCTTTGCTAAGGAGAGCGTGGCTGGAGGGAGGGGGAGAGGCAGGCAGGATGCGCTCTACTCCCACCCCCTCCGCTCTCTGCTCGGCCCCGAACACCGGAGCTCTTCGGGGGGGGGGGGGTCCGCGCCGTTCCCCACCCCCCCCGCCCCCCCCCCCCCCCCGCCTAATCCCCGCCCCCGGAGGGGCGCCCCCAAAAAAAGACAACGCGGGAAGCGACTTCTCTCTTCACCTGCGGTTCCGGCGGAGGTTTGCAGCCTCAGCTCCGGTCGAGGAAGGAGCGGAGTTGCGGGGCCGGCATGGGCGGAGGGGCTGAGAGGGGCGGCTGCACCCCGCGCCTGGAGCTGCTGCTGTTCCTGGGGCTGTGCGGCCGCGCGGCAGCGCTGAGAGGTAAGCGGGATCCCCAAGCCATCCCTCCCCGGCAAGTTTGTAGACAGAAACCCTCGGCCAGCCCCGAGCACCGGTTGCTCTGCTGGGCAAACCCCCGTCATTTAAAAAAAACAAAAACAAAACAAAAAAAAATCTCTCCCCACTCCATAACCCCACGGGATCGCGGTGGGAGGCGAAGCGGATATGCCCCAACGTTGGGGTAAGGGGAATACAGCCCTGCAGGAGAG